ACTGGTTCTGAGCACGGAGTGCAACAACCTCCATTTCCAATGGCGCCAAGCGCTCCACTATCGCATGCAGCGACGCATTCGCCTGCTCCACCACCAGGGTCGCTCCGATAGAGCGCGGTAGTCCTCAAGGTGAGGTAGCCGGCGCACGACGTGCTTCAAGTCGTCAAGAGCGTCTGCAGAGCGATATGTCACTTCAGCATGACGACGTTCAGCGGAGCTCCGATCACGACGGATCTCGTTCTCAAGGGCTCAAAAAGCAGCACGAGTCACCGGACGGAGGTTGCCCGGTCGTCACCGCCCGCCGCCGACTCTTCTCGACGAGAACGGTGACGCCCACTATCACTTGGACCGTCTAGTGAGACGACGTCGTCACCAAGGTCAAACCCAACATCTTGAGAAGTGGCGGGGATATCCCGACTCCGTAAACTCGTGGGATTTTGAAATACCACTTCGGCAAGATTGCCCAGACGCCGTGGACGCTTTTGATCAAAAAGATCAGGAGGATTCGCGTCATCAGACGCCCCGCGCTTCCCAGCATTAGCCAGGGACTAGAAGGGCCACGAGCTGAGCTCAAGCAGTGGCTATGAGCTCTTGCGGTCGCAGACACAGAGCTTTCTGGAGCGTTAGGGGTTAACCCATACGTTGCAGGGTGACAATCCGAATGAAGTCGACGACGAGCCTTGAGTTTGGCAATTTGGCAATTTCAAATCGGAGGTGCCGCTCCATGCGCACGTCCACTTCCCTTTGGCTCAGCTGTAAGTTTTACAGTGAGGAAAGCTTCCGGTGCCGTTGCACCCATCGCTCAAAAAGCGCTTCGTCATCTATAGCGCTTTCGCCAGGAAGGAGCACTACAGGTATTCTCGGCATTACGGGTACACGAGAGCCACCTCGTTGAGCACTCCGACAAGTGCGATAAGCTTCCCGCGGAGAGTCTTGTGGAACCAAGAAACGAGCTCGACGAGCTTTCCGTTCGGCAAGCTCATCTTCCGTTATGGCCGGGGGCCCAATGATGTGGAGGCGTAACGATAGAGTTACCGCGTTCTTCACTTCCACAGCAAAGTCCGCTAGGTGAAAGCCATATTCCAATTGTGGGCCAATAACCGGTCGTGGATGGACGCGCATCAGAGCCGCCTTACGGGCAGCTTCCAGCTGCCGCCTCTGTGCCTCGTCGAAGTAATTGGTGATTACACCACGTCCCTCAGGTGATGAGGGGTCAGGAAACGGACATGGGGTCAGCTGAAGCAGCTCCCCTTCCTCGTCATCCCTTGCGGGAAAAAGAGTGTCAGACTCGTAGTCGACCACCTCCACATCCTCAACGAGGTCACTCGTCACTGATAGAGTGCGCGGAGCGCGACGCTCGTGCTCATCAAGCCTAGGATGTACATCCCTCGATGCCGCGGACGCGCTGCCCGACATTTTATCGAGTGCGGGAGATGAAGTTGGGCTCTGCCCGTGTTCGCTGTCAGAACCAGCGAGACGTGGTGACTTCAGTGTTGTTGAGACAGGGCTCATTGGGCACGGATGTCGTTTTTACTCAACGAACCAAGTTGCAGTGTCTAGCGGACACGCAAGTTTCGTTGAGGCAATAATCGATTGGAGCTATAAATGTTCTCAATCTTAATGGGGGAGAGTGTAACGGGTTTTCACGTACCCTGGTAACAGCGGTGTGTGTCACCAAGATGGGCATGGTGTGACTGCGCACAAAAAAAATATGGTATGTGGCTGGGTAGCCCAGTAGTTATGCATGTATATAGATTTTACTATATATATTTAGGAAAATCCATACATTTAAAACTAGGCGGCTTTGCCGCAGATAAAACAAATAAATACAGTTTACATTTTAAACAGAAGAGTTTATTAGCCTTGGGTTAAGAATCTAACTACTCTTGGAGGTTGCGGATTGCGATTTGCTACACTCGTACTGGTTCTTGTGAAGAACGTAAGGTCGATGACCTTAATTTCGCTTCCTCTAAGCGCGAAAGCTACGGCAGCTCCGCTGCAGGTATAACATGGTGGCATCCCGCGCGAGGTCATTTAGCGTACCCTTGATGTAGGTGCAAGGCGTCCAAAGGAGGAAAGTTCGGCCTCTATCGAAATTTGTGGAGGTCATGGTCA